TATATACCTCTAATTAATTAAATTTTTGGATTTCATTTCATTGTATAGATGTTTGTGTCGGTGGCTAGCGGGCCGTGGGACGAGCTTTTCGGAGGTGGAAACTTGCCGGCATTCGTGGTGGGTGCGGTGGCGGCTGCCGCCAGCGGCATTTTAGCTCTCACAGTGCTTCCGTCACCGCCTAACGACGCGAAAATTGTGACGGCTGCCGGAGGATTCCATTAAATATGTGATCTTATGTAGAATTTTTATATAAGTGGTGTATTGGGCTTTTCATTTTTTTTTCTTTGCAGCCCTTTTTGTTTCTATAATTTCATGTAAGGAACTTATGGGAACAATATTATTAGTATACGCTAAGCGTGATGCTGTTCTGAAAGATTTTTTGTGATTGTCTGAACAAGTCTCTTTTGGGTACTTGTTATGTTGTGCAATGGTTATTTGGTGAAGTTTGTGTGGAATTAGTTACTTGATGTTGTAATTAGTTGCTCTGCATAATGTAGAATTACAAGTTAAATAAATTCATATAAATTCATATAAGTTGCTCTTTATTCTCAATAGCTATGTATTCATTCATAGTTTCACTCTTATAAGATGGGTATATATAAGATGTGTATATACTAACCATTAGACAGACATTTTTATTTTCTTCACAAATACTCATAATTTTATTAGCAAATGCTATAGTTTAAAAAATAACATAAATAGAAATATAAATATCTGATGTTTGTATGATTATATAAAGTTTTAAAGTTAAAGGCGTGCTTGTTTATGAAATATTTCACTCAAAATGAGTTATGTTAGTTAACTAGAGTTAATTTTGAAAAAGATAGTATGGTTAATTGTTAGTGGGATTTTAAGAATGTATTAAAATAATATTTAAAATAAAATAATTAAAATTGATTTGATGTAAAAGTAAGAGATAAATGATTGGAAATGATTAGAAATGATAGGTAGTTAAAATTATGTGAGTGGATGAATAGTAAATTAAAGTTGATGTGATGTGTAAGAATGATTGATTTGTATTATTTAATTATATGAATAATATTAAAAATAATGGGGTTGGATTAAAGTTGAGTTAGATTTTGAGTATGAATTGAATTGTAAATGAAATAATTTGTAAAGCAATCTTGACAACAACTTCCCAAAAAAAAAAATTTATTTAAAAGATATTACAGAGTCTGAAACATGGAAATACTTGTCTTAAAAGGGTAAGAGGAGAGCAAAAACAACAAGCTGAAAACAAAGAATTTAAACAAAAATCCCAATCCCAATTGACAATCCAATTCAAACTTAAAAAAAAAAATGGATGTTCATCAATGTCCACCGGCAGCCACAATCTTGACCGAACCACCTGAGGGTGTTGTTGTCGGCAGTACTGTGACGGCTAAAACCGCACTTATGATGGCAGCCACTGCTCCCATCACAAACGCTGGTAGGTTTCCGCCGCCAAACGCCTCATCCAATGGCCCACTCGACACCGACACTATCATCTGAGGAATGACGATCGCGAGGTTTAGGAGCCCGAGCGATAGACCTGTCGAACGAAAAAAGAAAAATCATTGTAACAAGCGAAAAAAATGTGAGTCGAGATGCAGAACAACGAAATCGTCACCATATGTTTCCAGCCTTCAACTTTGCCTCGTCAACAAAAATTTCCGTATATAACGTACGAAAAGTGTGAGTCGAAAAGTAGAACACCACAAACACAAAAAAAAAAATTATCATATTTCAACTAAAAATCCAATAATAACATATTCCAAGAAAAATTCCAACTGATATTCTAATGGTATAGTTTTCGTTGGAATGATTCCGACGAAAATATTATGAGTTTTCCATTGGAATTTTAGTTGGAATTTGATGATTCTGGCGGCCATTTTCCAACGGTTTGAGTTTCTGTTCGAATATGCAATTTCTATTAGAATTTTTCACCCAAATTTGAACCGTTGGAAATCTACTGTGAAATTCCAATGAAAATCTCATTCTAACGGAATAATTCCGTTGAAATTTCATGAGATTATATTTTCATTGGAATTTTCTGTTAGAATTTCACCATTTTTTTTACAGCGAACAATACAATTGTGAATCGTCGACACAAGTAACACCAATTGTTAGACCAAACATTACATGTTCAAACTTACCTTGTCCGGCGGTTGTCGAGTTGGACGAATAGATGGAAGCCAAGGCGAATGGAAGACTAAAAGTCACCGCCAACGGAATTCCGAGCACGGCGGATATGGCCAACGCCCCGTTTTTCACGCCAGCTGGCGGAGCGTCGAGCGTCCCCCCGGCTGCAACCCTCGCCTCCTCGGCCAACTTTGTGACGAGCACCATCATCCCCAACCCGACCGCTAAAATAATGTTAACCCCTCCCCAAAGCTGCTTGACGCGCTTTATCCCTGTCGCCATAGCCTGCACACCCAACGACGAAAACCCGAGCACAATCGCCTGTAGCATGAGGCCCATGGCACCCGCGCGGATCCCACGGTCGTAAAGTTCCTCCCCCACGGCACCTCCGTAAACCTCCCGACCCATCCAGTCCGTGTCGTACAAAAGAAACGGAAACCACGCGACCCAATTGATGGATGTGACAAGCATGAGCAACCACATGGACCTCGGCAAGCCCTTGAGGGCGCCTATCATTCGAAACCCTTTTATGTCGGATGCTGCAGCTGAGGCCTTATGGGCCGCGGCCGAGCCTGATTTTTCACGCACGATGCTAAGGGCAACGGTCGTCAACGTCAGAAGAAGAGTGGCCGAGATGATGAAACAACTCTTGAGGTTGGCGCAGTAGACGTCGCAAGCCGTGGTGCGTGTGAAGGGAAAGATACGGTACAACTTGGTGTAGGAGCCGGCCGCGTACCCAAGAACGTTCCCCACCGCCATGAAGAAGGAGAAGAGGGCGTTGGCCGTGCTTATTTTCCGAGCCTCACCATTAGACAGGTCGGCCAACATCGCCCTGCATGGCCCCTGCATTCCCGACACAGAGTTTTGCCACAAAAATCAAATTGTATTTAAAACACTCTACAAGAAAATAATGAAATTTTAATGGAAATATATTCAATAGAATTCCAACGAAAATTACAATAGGTACTTCAATGCTATTATTTCAATTGCAATCAAATTCCAATAAAAAATTCTTACAAAAATATTCCTCTAAAATGAGTTTTTCATTTAAATTTTGGATTTTGGCGATTCAACAGAACAAAAAATCCAACGAAAATTGAATATTTATAATTCTACGGAATAATTCCTTTGGAATTTTTCAATGCAAACTAAATCATTATAATATCCATTGGAATTTACTATCAGTATATACTTTCAATATGTACGGATTTTTCGAAATGCCTTCCAAACCGGATTCTGACCGGTCAAATCCAATTTCAAATGATTTTTCAAAGATGCCTTCCAAACCCGGATTCTGACGTCAAATCCAATTTCAAATGGTAAAAAGCTCGTTTTGGAAAACCTTCGATGATTATCAACTTCAAACGCAAAAATAGTTCGGGAGGCAAATAAAAATTAACTCTTTAACTTCGAACAAAAGAATAAAAATAAAAATCATTACCTGCACGGTGTTATTAGCGACATCGAGTATCCAAAATCCGATCACGAAAATCAGTAAGGCCTTAGGCTTTGGCACGGTCCTCTCGAGCGGGTCCCCCAAGCTATGGCCCATATCGGCCGCGTAGCCAATCAGGACAACCGCCACTGCCACAAGGGCAGCACCGGACGCTATGAAAGGGACACGCCTTCCGAGCTTGTCGCTGAAGTAGCCGACAATGGGCTGGACGAGCAGGCCCGATATGGGCCCAGTTAGCCAGACGATGGAGGCCCATTGGTGGGCCACCCCAAGAAGCTGTGTGTAGGGTGTGAGAAGTGACAGTTGGAGGGCCCACCCGAATTGGAGCCCGGCTGCTATGGACGCGATTAGGATAATGTGTAGAGTCGACCCGCCGCCCGACCCGTTTTCGACCTCCAACATAGTTCTTTCGTTTCGGTCGGCCATCTATACAATGTCGCGATATATATCTACACGAAATCGTGTACGATTTGAGAAATTGGAATTTTTTTTTTATGGGATGATTGAATTGTCTATTATGTGCAGTATATACATATATGTATTTTTTTTATTTATTATTTTGTTTTAATTATTGTTTTTTTCTAGTGTGTAACCTGCAACATTTAACAGGTTACGTTTCAGAAAAAAAAAAAAAGAAAAAATCAAGAATGGGAAATGTGTACAAGTGATTTTGGAAGTGGGGTGAGGAGTTTATATAGTATTTGAACCATTGCCTAATTTTAGGATCACAATAATTCAGGTAATGGTAATTTGCCTTTACCAATTTCATGATTGACCACACAAAGGTTGTTGACTTTGACTCCCATTGTACTTTTCACAAATTACAAATAATCTTTGCCACTATACTAACATTGTTTTTGTTAAGGTGAATGAGTATTTTCTAATTTCTTTCTATTTTTTAATCCAAATATTGATAACTTTTTAAAATAAGATCTCGAGTTTTTATTCTTGACAATATGTTAAGTTGACAACAAAATAAAACTTATTTATAATTTTTTGTATTGGTTTTTTTTTAGAGGATCGTACTTGACTATTTAATATATGAAATTCATTATAATAAACGGGCAAGATTTCAAGCATGATGCTTATTTTCTTAATTTTATATTTTTTTTGTCAATCCATATATTGTTGATATATAATTGACAAGACTTTAACTAATCAAATTCATATTCCTTTACTATAGTTCTGAAAGCATAAAATCTTATCCATTTTGTAATAAAATTTTAGTTACATTATTTGCTTTGGATAAACTTTTCATTGCAAAATATTCAAATTTGTTAAGATTTATTATATTATTTTACTATAATTCTAAATGCATAAAATCACATCCACTTCATAACTATATTTCAATAACTTTATTTGCATTGGAAAGTTTTTGTGGAAAAATATTTTAATTTATTTTATTTTATTTGTGTACTCTATTTTTGAGTTTTTCTTACATCAACACAAACCGATTTGAGTGTGCATTCATTTGATCTGACGCAATGACGGATCTAAAAAATTTACTCAGGGAAGCCCGATTGTAAATATTAAATAATATCTTGTAGTTTAAGTCGAAACACTCATTTAATATAAAAAATATATTTACAATAAATATAAATATAGATACGTGTACCATCAATTTTTTTAAAACTTAGAATCCGTATCACCTCAAACTTTAGAAAAATAAACAAAAAAATGAGATTTCATGTATTTATAATTTAAGTTCAAATTATGAAATAATATTTTTTTTTTTTTTTGTCGAAAAATTGAT